GTTAGTCCAAGTGTCCGTGGGAATAGTCTAGAACTTGCCCCGAATATGTGTCAAGAAGAAATCTTAAGTTTTGCTTGGTTTGAAAAGTGATTGTAGGCTTTCCTTGGCCCGTTTCAGCTTTCTATTGCCAGCCAATGTTGTTATCCCTAGTCAATCCCTTTTGAGCCTCTAGCCTTTTCTTATTTGATAACCATGTTATATGCCTTTACCCGTTTTGTCGTGACCCTCTCTTGGCACCCAGACTTTCCTTAACACTCTTGTGAAACAAGTGGATTAAAACATATGTTTGAGGGAGAGATGTGGAATTTAATAAAAGTTATCAAGGCACAAAGATAGTAAAGAAATGATCTCTATGAAAAGAGAAGGCAAGAAAAGAAAAAAAAAAGAAAAAGAAAAATGCAAAACATGAATAAGTGGAAGGGTTGATGAATTCAAAAAGAGGTAATGATCCCTACCATGAATAATCAAAAAGGGAGAAAAAGAAGGAAATGAACATGAAAGAGTGATTCTAAGTCTCTCTAGTCCCCAATAAAAAGAAAATGCCTCTAAGAATTGGCAATTGTGAGCTGAGAAATGAAAGTATTTAAGGAAATGTGTAACCACTTGCCCATATGGTATTCTACCCTAATCCAAAAGCCTTCATTACAAACCGAAAGAAGTCCTACTTGATTTCAAATCGAGTGAGCTTACATAAGTGGCGATCTACATGAGGGGAAAGCCTATGGTACTTGAAGCCGTACTTGTGACATTCTCTTGTGAGAGACAATGAACCTTTCTTGAATCTTAAGTTGAGTGCTAATTTTTTCTTTTAAGTGAGCTTGGCAAATGGAAAATAGAGGAGTAAGAATTTGGAGTCCACCTTGACATACATGATAGAAGAAGAGTCTTCGATGAGTAAAGTCAATTCTTGAAGCTCATATGTCACATTAAAACTATATGTGCATGAGTATTTGACTTGTCACCTTGTTGATAATGCATGAGTAGTGTGTAAGGCTTCGTAAAATTTCACCTAGAACTCGAGGTCTCATGATGCTAAGGTAGACTATTGTGTTTGAGGATGCGGTACAAACGTTTTGGGTTGAACAGTGCGTTGGAGAGTTGAAATTTTTTTTGGCAGAATTGGGCATTTCTACGATCCATAATGCGGCTACAGAATCACTCTGCAAGCCGCAGAATTGCCACGGAGTAAAGCAAAGAACTGGGTGGATTTTGGATGATATTTTGCGATCAATTTTACGATTACAAACCCATTCTGCTCCGCACTTCCGTCGTATATTTTGTGTGAAGAATTTTGTTGGGTGATTCTGCGGCCGCAGAACAGGTCTGCGGACCACAGACCTAACCCGAAACAACCCAATTATTGGAGATCATTTCTGCGGTTCAATTTGAGGACCACATAGCTGTTATGCGGTCCATTCTGCGGCCGCAGACTTGGAATCGGAGGGTCCAATTTCTAATTTTTATAACCCGACCTTACTTCGATATATAGGCCTAAAGGGTCATTTTGAAGAGGAAAATCTTATATTTTTAGAGAGAGGTGAGAGTATCTCAGAGAGAAAGAGAAGACCTAGCTAATTGTCCATCACAATCTTGCTCAAGCCTTGAAATCCAACAAAAAATCTCACAAGATCTTCACCCAATAGGTAAGGTTCTAACCCTAGTCTTCAATTTTGAGTTTGGGGTAAAAGATAGGTGATTAGGAGTATTATTCTTGGATGTGAGAGTATTATGTATACATGCATGTACCAAAAGGATTTGTGGGAAGATTTTTGAGTTCAAATGGGTAACGATTGGGTTGTGAAGTGAAGGAAATCTTGTAGAAGAACCTTGTAGCTAAAATTGCACACATAGTGTTTCATGAAATGAGCTGGACCATGAACTTCTTCCTAATTATGGTTCAATTTTGTTATGTTTCTAAATAGATTGAAATTGCTAAGATTCCTGAAAAATTGTAGTAAATTAAGGAAGCTCAAAGTGAGGTATGTTGGCTAAACTCTTCTCTTAGAATTGAACTCCACAATACCCTTGTAAGTTTCGAGTTTTTCATCTTAAATCGATTATTCCTAATAAGATTTGTGACTAAACATATATGTTCAATACGTGTTCCAGATGTTGTTGCTATGTTGTGATACTAACTGAAAATGTGTTCAAAATATGGATTGCATATATAAATGTTATAACTTCAAGTCGTGATTCAAATAAAAGCTAGTATGTCAAATTGAGTAGAGTTGTGGTATTGGGATTACACCTCCGCCCGCATACATTGGTGAGGCGGCAGGGCTTCTTTGTGTAGAGTTTGTGGCATTATGATTACGCCTCCACCCGCATACATTTTGGTGAGGTTGCAGGGCCACTTTGTGTAGAGTTTGTGGTATTGTGATTATACCACCACCCGCATACATTGGGGTGAGGCGGCAAGGCCGCTTTGTGTAGAGTTTGTGGTATTGTGATTACACCTCCACCCGCATACATTGGGGTGAGGCGGTGCGGCCCTTTTTTGTTTTTGTAGCTACAGAGGATCCCGACTTAATATTTATAAATGTTATTGAAAGCTCTTGATAAATTTACTTTGGCTTTAACGAATATCTATGCCATTCTATTGTTACCATGATTCATCATATTCATATTGTATTTCATAGTCCTTTAATAGATGTTTGGTTTTCATACTAGTATTATTCGACATGTACTAACACCCCTTTTATGGGGGGCGCTACATCTTTAATGGATGCAAGTGTTTCCAAAGCGGAAGGCATTGACCAGTGATAGTGGTAATCATTCCTCCCAGCTGACTTGGTGAGCCCCACTTTATTCTGCGGTCGTGCATCATTTGCTCCGTGTGTATTATTATGTTTTGAGGTATAGACAGAGCCATGTTGGCGGCACTATCATTGTACTCTTTTATATCTATTAGAGTCTCCGTAGGCATAGCGTGGGTTGTGTATGGGTGTTCGGAAAGTTAAACTAAAGGTGTCATAGTTGTATCATATGCTTCCACTATTAAACTGTGGTTGTGAAATGTATTATTTTGGAGACTTATAAATGACACAACTAATGGAACTGAACTGGAGTGGTTCACATGACTATCACATTGTCTAATTAATGAAATATATCTATTCTTGGTTTATGGGTGAGTTGAGTAGAAGGAAATCTAGCAGGCTTGCTCGGGCGGGTTATCTCGATTGAGCGATGGTAGTGTGGGTAATTGTTGGTCCCAACTGATGTGTGACTGGCTCACCTTTGACTCACTGAAATGACTCTTATTTCTAGAAGGTGGGAACTAATTTATTTGCTTGAGGAAAGCAAAGACTTATGTTTGGGGGAGATAATAAGTGGGGATTTGGACTACTTACTAGTACCTTTTCGCTTTTGTTTTAGTACGAAAGTATTGATTTATGTTCCCAAAACTAATGAAAGTGTGCAAATTGCAGGAATGTTTGAAGTTTGGTCTCCCATGATGAAATCCGACTCAAAAAGGAGTGTTCTGAATCACAAGGCAAGAAAGGGCGCAGAACTAAAAAAGTGCGGTCTGCAGAAGGATTTCTGCGGCCACAGAAAAAAATGCGGACCACAGAATTCCATATCCGGCCGCATATCAAATGAAAACGCCTAACAGGAATTTGACCAATGTGTAGCGGCAGAACCAGGTCTGCACTGACAAATGATTCAAAGTTTAGAGATTGTGCAAAAGACCAAGACCTGAAGCCATGCTGAAGTGCGGACAACACACGAATTGTGCCGCCGCAAAAGATGCTTCGCATCTGTAATCAAGAATTGTGCGGTTGTAGAATCTAAGATCCTCCCAACTGAAGAAATCTGCGGACCGCATCCCAGGGGTATTTTTGTCAGAAAAATTTGGGCCACTATAAATAGACGAGTTTCACATTTGTAGGTCGAGTTTCAAAGTTTGAACTATTGTAGCCGTTAAATTTTTCCATTTTGGAAAGTTTGTGACTGTTTTAGTATTTAAACATTATATGTAATTATTTTAATCATATATTATAAGTTTAATTATCATTTCTTCTTTATTTTCTTCCATTCTCACCATGAGTAGCTAGATTCTGACTAGGGTTGTGACCCAACCCTAGTGTGTAAACAGTATGGGTACTTAATTTAATGCTTGTTTATGATCGGGTGTTGATTATTTAGCTTAGTTATGCTTCAATTTTAAAGTTAATGGTTGCAAATATTGGTTCATGCCTTTTTGACTTGGTCTCAACTTGAGAAAAAGGGACCAGTCTAGGATAACTTAGCGAACAAGGAATTGCGCTAATTGAGGGTCTGATTAGCCTAATTAAAGGATTCAAACTAGAGACAGTGAGAACCTTACTTGAGCTCATATCATTACGCCATGGTTTTTAGTAGGTGGAACAAAATACGATATTAATTAGAAAACAGTTTTTGAAAATCTTGGTTTTATGGCAAATGTTGTCGTTCCATACCATGACATGCTTCGAAAGGTTCTCTGAACGCGATCGTTGCTTCTTGAAAACTCTCTCCCGTTGATGTCAATATTCCATGATGCTTCTGACGACGCGACTGCTTGCCGTTGCGACAACGTACTAATCTAAACTAATGCATTTCAAAGGTTTCCTTGGGTTTTGACCGAACACTTTTAGGTTTCCTACGTATGCACAATAGAATTAGGTCTGAACATAGTTTGTGGATGATGATAAAATACGATAAATATGATCGAGCCTGATTCAGGAAGCCTACATATCCAGACGGAATCGGGTTAAGACGTAGTTTAATTACAACAGATGCAAGATGATGAGAATTAGAGTGGATGGCCAAGTATGACTCAGACTGCCTACGTATCCGAATGGAATTAGTCCAGAACGTAGTTCAGTTACAAAAGATTATTGAATCCGATGTAGATTGCCTATGTATTCTTCCCTGAGGAAATCAAGTCTTGGCGTATTTCCAGTCAACATACAAAATGATATTTTGATTTTCTATTACAAAAGAAAGGGGTGAGAAACTGAACCCTAACTCTATTACCTTTAAACGTAGTGTCTCTTGATTGTTTCAGAGTTGATGGACTTTGTGTTGACTCTTCTATCCATTTCTGGCAAAATTAGAGCTCCACCCGACAACAGTCGATGAACCACGTAAGGCCCTTGCCAATTTGGCGTGAATTTTCCTTTGGCTTCTTCTTGGCGGGGGGAGATTTTCTTCTGAACCAATTGTCCTGGTGAAAACTGGCGAGGCTTCACCCTTTTGTTAAATGAACTGTCCATCATATTATGATACAACTGATCATGGCATAATGCATCCATTCTCTTTTTGTCAATGAGCATGAATTGCTCCTGTCTGACCCGTATCAACTCTGCATCGTCTAACATGGCTTCTTGAATGACTCTTAAGGATGGTATCTCAAACTTTACGGGTATCACAACTTCGGTGCCATATACTAACATGTATGGTATTTCCCTAGTAGATGTTCTCATGGTGGTCCGATAACCTAGTAAGGCGAAGGATAACTTCTCGTGCCATTGACTGTGATTGTCCACTATCTTTCGTAGAATTCTCTTGATATTCTTGTTAGCTGCGTCGACTGCTCCATTCATTTGTGGTATATAGGATGTGGAGTTGCAGTGGACAATTCTAAACTTCTCGCAGATTTCCCTCATGAGATCACTATTGAGGTTAGTTGCGTTGTCAGTGATGATTGACTCGGGTATCACAAATCGGCATACGATGTTCAGACGAAATCCGCCACCACATTCTTTGTGACGGCTTTGTAGGTAGATGCTTCGACCCATTTAGTGAAGTAGTTGATGGCTACCAAGATGAAACGGTGCCCGTTTGATGTAGAGGGCTCTATAAGGTGCAATCACGTCCATGCCTAATCGATTAACGGCCAAGGCGAGCCCATCACATTCAACTCATTGGGTGGAACCTGGATAAATTCTCCGTGGATTTGGCACAGATGACACTTCTACACGTAGCAGATACTATCGCTTTCCATGGTTATCCAAAAGTATCCGACTCCTAAGATCTTCTTGGCTAATATGAAACCATTCATGTGGCATCCGCACATTCATGCATGCATCTCTTCCAATAGTCAGGTTACCTCAGCGACATCTACACATCACAACAAACCCAAGTCAAGGGTCCTCCTATATAGGACTTCCCCGTTAAGGAAAAAATGATTTGCCAACCTTTGGAGTGCCCACTTCTGATTATTAGTGGCATCCTCCTAGTATTCTCTTGTTACGAGGAATCTTCTAATGTCGTGGTACCATGGTTTACTCTCTGGCTCTTCGTTTACATGAAAGGAATACATATGTTGATTCTTGATTTCTACCTTGATAGGGTTGATGTAATTCTTATATAGACGCTGAATCATGGATGATAGGGTTTCAAGAGCGTCGTCGAACTTTATCTGGGTCCTAGGAACGTGTTTGAATTCAATCTTTGTGAATTTCTTCCATAATTCTTTTAGGCACTGCAAATATGGAAGAATCTTGATGTTCTTGGTAGATCACTCTCCTTGGACTTGATGTATCATAGATCGGAATCCCCTATGACCAAAAGCTCTTTGATGTTCATGTCAACTACCATCACGCTCCCAAGGATGCCTGATTCATACTCGGCCATATTATTGGTACAAGGGAATCTTATCTTTGCAGATGCTGGACAGTTCCGTCCTGATTTCTGAAATCACGACTGCCCTAATTCCTACTTGTTGGAAATTCACCGCTCCTTCGAAAAACATTCTCCATCCAGGGTATGATTTTGTAATATCTTCTCCTGCGAATAATACCTCCTCGTTGGGAAAGTACATAGTAAGCGGATCATAATCCTTATCCACTAGATTCTCTGCAAGATGGTCAGCTAGAGCTTGTCCTTTAATAGCCTATTGGGTTATGAACACAATGTCAAATTTACTGAGAAGAATCTGCCATTTAGCTTGCTTTCCGGTAGGCATCGACTTCTGAAAGATATACTTGAGCGAGTCGAGCTGAGATATCAAATGTGTGGTGTATGCTGACATGTAATGCTTCAACTTCTAGGCGATCCAAGTCAAAGAACAACAAGGGCGCTCCATCAAAGTGTATTTGGCCTCGCACGGCGTGAACTTCTTACTTAAGTATTTGTAACGACCCGGCCGGTCGTTTTTGGAATTTATTCCCCGATCCCCTATTTACCGCTTCCCCTAAGTTCATTTCTGCTATTTTGGTATGCCGGGACGTTCGGTGTTAGGGTTCGGAGTGTTTTGGGACACTTAGTCCCTAAATGAGAGCTTAAGTGTTGAAAGATGGTCCGTAATCGGAACAGTGTGAAGACGACCTCGGAATGGAAATCCGATGGTTTCATTAGCTCCGTTAGGTGATTTCGGGGTTGGGAGCGTGTTTGGAATGCATTTTGGAAGCTCGTAGCTCATTTAGGCTTGAAATGCCGAAGTTTGAATTTTTGAAATTTCCGGTCCGATAGTGAATTTTTTATCCGAGGGTCGGAATGGAATTCCGGAAGTTTCTGTAGCACCGTCATGTCATTTGGGACGTGCGTGCAAAATTTCAGGTCAATCGGACGAGGTGTGGTTAGGTTTTTGATCGAAAGTGTGTTTCGTTGGAATTTGAAGTTCTTAGGCTTGAATCTTTGATTAATTCGTGTTTCTGGCGTTGTTTTAGGTGGTTTAAGGATTGGTACAAGTTTGAATGATGTTATGGGATATGTCCGTAGGTTTGGTTGAGGTCCCGGGGGCCTCGGGTGTGTTTCGGATGCTCATCCGAGCAATTTGAAGTTTGGAAATGTTGCAGAAAGTTGCAGGTCTGAATTCCTTCTTCGCGTTCGCGGCCACTCTCCCGCGTTCGCGTAGTGTAAGTCTGGAGAGGGGGGCCCGTTCCTCTTCGCGTTCGCATAAGATCACCGCGTCCGCGTAGCTTCACTATTTCCTCCATCGCGTTCGCGTAAGCCTTGTCGCGTTCGCGTAGTTCTTGATCCCCTGGCCTTCGCGTTCGCGCTCCTCCCTTCGCGATCGCGAAGGGCATTTTTGGGCCCTGATATTTTCCTTCTTCGTGAACGCGTGCTTCCTATCGCGTTCGCGATGCTTTAGACTCCTGAACAGTACTTAACATTTCAAAAACGAGGTTTTGCCATTTTTATCAAAACTCAAGGTTTGGAGCTCGGATTTGGGAGCAATTTCAAGGGTTTTTCAAGGGCAATCACCGGGTAACGATTCTCTACTCTCCTATGACTAAAACCCATTAATCTAATCGCAAATTCACCCTTTAATTTCGTGTTTTTGAATGGGAAGTGGGTAAACTTCTTAGACCTAACTATGGGGTTTTGAGGGGTCATTCGACCTCCGATTTGGGAGATTTTTATATGGTTAGACTCGTGAGAGTACGAGGGTTCTGAAAACGTAAAAATTATTCGATTCCGAGACGATGGCTGGAGGGGCATTTTGGTCATTTTACCTATTTTCGCGCCCTAGCTCTAAATTTAATAGTGGAATCAGTTGTTTGCAATATTATTTACGATATGTAATTGAATTGAATAGATTTGGGCCATTTGGAGTCGGATACTCGTGGCAAAGGCGTGGTTTCTATTGATATTGAGCCGGTTCGAGGTAAGTGGCTTGTCTAACCTTGTGTGGGGGACCTTTCCCCTTAGGATTTGTTATTTGTTGATTTGAGTGCCTTGTACGCGAGGTGACGGGCGTGTACTTGAGCCAATTGTTGGAAAATCCGGTTTTTCTTAAGATATTGAGATTGAGTTCCTTCCATATTTGCTTTATTCTACTTGAAATTATAACTTGAGCTAGATTAGGAAAGCATGTTTAGTTGATT